TGGTTGTGTGTGGACACAAGTGGGGACAAGCTTACGCCAGGACGTAGAGGCCTGTAGGGGTTCCCCTGGGCAGGCCCGCGGTGGAGACCGGTTCAGGAGGCACCAGGAGGAGACAAAGTCTATGTAACATCTCTGCCCGCACCCTTCAAAACACTGAGAGCGGGGAAAACCCCACGCAGGCGCTCTGTGGTCTGTGCCGCAGCGTTTGCGCACTGCAAGGTCTCTGCAGCAAGCCTCTGGTCCCCTTCTGGGTGGTGCTGGCAGGCCGTCGCCATAGTAACCAGCCTGGGCTTCTGGCGCCTGTTGGCGACTCTGGGAGGGATTCGGAGCAGCCATATATGTTAGAGGGTGTGGGATGCTGGGGTCCCTCCCAGGGAGGGACGTCCTGTCTGTCCAGCCTGCCGTTCTCATCACTATGGCAGCCCACATCTCCGGAAATGAGAGGACCCAGTTTGTGTCCCAGGCCTTGTCCTGTTCTGGGACCCATGCTCAGTGATGCCCTGGGCAGCCCTGGGTACAGATTATTGTAGCCCCAGCTCACAGAAAACGAAATCCCAGAGACAGAGGAACTTGCCCCGGGTCACACAGCTTCCCGTCTATAGTGGTCGGAGAGGCTGATTTAAGAAAAGCAAAAAACAAGCTAATGAGAATACGTCAAAAAGTGTTGTTACGCACGGTCCAGTACATACATGCACGGATTTATCCCAAACAAAACATGTATAATCCTGACTGAGATCAGTGGGTGGCTGCAGAAAGCTCTCAGTAATAGACGTGCAGTCTCCTTAGGGAGTCCTGGTGTGGTGTTGTTGGATAAGCATTGGACTGCTATCCACAAGGTCAGCAGTTCAAAATCATCAGACGCTCCTTGAAAACTCTACAGGATCGCGATGAGTTAGGACCGACTCGCCTGCACTTAACAATAACAGTCTCGTTAGGGTACCTCCAAATAAAAGATCCAATCAAACAGTGGCTTCCTAGGCGATCTGCTAGGCCAGTTAATCTCAAGGCAGAGAGAGCTCACCTCAGGTTACGGGAGACTGTATTTTAGTATCCCCAAAGGTGTCATCTTGATAGATTTTCTTGAAGGACCCAGGATAATCACAGAATCACAGGGGCTTGTCATGTAGAATTTTTAAGGAACTAAAAACTGCCTTGGTGAGTAAAAGTTCAGAAAATTGTGCCAAGGAAATTTCTTTTCGTTCTGACAGGGGACCTTCTCATTCTCTGTACCATGGGCCGTCCTATGGTAATTTTGTTGGGAAACCTTCCCGCGTCTACCTCTACAACCCTGGTCTTGCCCCTTCAGACTGATTTTTATTCCCCAAACTCAAAAGAACATTTAAAAGGAACATGATTCAGCTCCCTTGATGCCCAAACTGCCGTTTGACGAGGTGAACATCAAAGAGTACAGAATTCTTCAGGGGAAGTATTAGGGAGATGGAAATACCACCTTAGACCTAAATGGGGGCTATGTTAACAAACAGCAGTAGCACCACATTTTGATATATTTGTGTAATAAAGGTTATGAAGATTTTGTAGCAGTCCTTTTTGACATACCCTTAAGCAAAATGCTTTAACATTCACACTTACATCTGGTTGTTGTTGTTGTTAAGTGCCGTTGAGTTGGTTCCAACCCGTAGCAACCCTGTTTAGGGTTTCCAAGAAGCAGCTGGTGAGCTTGAACTGCTGACCTTGCAGTTCAAATGGCTTTGCAGTCTGGCGCATTAACCCACAGCGCCACACCAGTAGTTTTCCTCAAAGTAAATACTGGTGTAAGCAGTCCCCTCCCCCCTTGGTCACGAGACAGCTCTGGATGAGAACCCCAGAGGCCCAGTGACCACTTCCCATAATTGCTCTCCCCTCGGGTAAGCCCTGCCCAGCCCACCGGAGCCTACTGTGGTGAGGAGACTGTGTTCTGTGCCTGGCTGCTCCTCTCCACATGATGTCTGGGAGATCCCAGGGGTCCTCAGTGTGGCTTTACATCCCACGGTGTGGATGGACCATGCTGTGTATCTGTTCTCCTGGGGCTGGATACTGGAGTGCCCCCAGCTTATGCTCCTTCAGAGTGGTCATGGATTCTAGAACCTGCTTTTTGATGCACGCCTGGACACGCTCCAATCATGGTGCTGCACTGGGATGACTTCCAATGCTTCATGCCAGGGTGTCATGCACTGAGGCAGCAGGTAATAGTGGGTGCCAACGTTGTGAAAGCTCAGAGCTAACGTGGTCAGGGAGGAGACTGGGCAGGGTGACTCCCAATAGGAAGAAGGGAAACAAGCAGGGCAGTCTGATAGGACAGGAGGAACCATGGTCATGTGAGCTCAGAACTGTGAGGGAACTTTTTAGAAGCTACACCACAGTGGGCAGTGGAAGGCACCCTGCCCTCTGTGGGACCGTCACTCTAGGCCACGAGTGGCCCGCCCCTCTCTCCACGGGCACTGCCTCCCAGGCATATGGGCCCTAGCCCTTCAAGGTGCCCAGCCTCACCCACCAGGAGGTGGCTAGTCTCCCATGAGAACCTAAGAGCCTTCCTGGACCGGGGCCAGAACAGGTTGTATCAAAGCTGCTATGGATTGCTCCTTGCAGAAGGGATGTGGGCAAATTCTGGTTCCCCTTCATCTTACTTGTTTGTTGTTGTGAAGTGCTGAGGAGTTGGTTCCGACTCATAAATGACCCTGTATAGGGGTTCTGAGGAGCAGCTGGGTAAGTAAGCATTGGACTGCTAACTTCAGGATTGGTGATTCAAACTCACCAGCCGCTCCTTGGAAACCCTATACAAGGTCACTGTGAGTTGGAACCGATTCAAAGACACACCACAATGATAAAATAATTTGTAATCAAATCAGAATTAATAAGTTATAAAATAACCAGCCCCGTCTTAGTGGTCACCATGAGCTTGAGCAATGTCACTTTCACTATTATCATTGACACTTTAGCAATGGTCTGTCTTAATTGTCTCAGCGGCTTTGAGAGGTTGAACTTTTTGCCCATTGTACAGATGAGGAAACAGACCAGAGAGGAGCATTGTGTAATTCCACGTCACACAGCTAGAAAGTCAAGGCATAGGGTCCAGGTCTGCCTAGAGCCAAGGTGGGGCTGGGCATTCACCTCTACCCCATTCCTCACAGCAGGCCGAGGCAAAGCCCGAGGTGGAGGTGGAGGTATACCGGAGGGACTCCAAGAAGCTGCCAGGTCTCGGGGACCCTGACATTGACTGGGAAGAGAGCGTGTACCTGAACCTCGTTCTGCAGAAGGTGCCAGGGGTCAGCAGCCGGGTGGGGGGAGAGGTCCTTAGCGGCCTTCATCTCACTGGCTAGCCCCTGTCTTCCAGCTGGACTACATGGTCACCTGTGCCGTGTGCACACGCTCCGATGGTGGGGACATTCACATCCACAAGAAGAAATCCCAGGTGAGCCCAGCCCTTCAGGAAGAGCCGAGCTGTGGCCGCCCTCGTGTGCATTCTGGGGAAGATGTGTGCTCACCATGCAACTTCCCTGCCCTTGAGGGAGGGGTGCGTCCCACCACTCCGCAGCCTGGTTCTCCTGGGCTCTCAGTCCCTTAGAGTAGTATGACACAGTAACCATCTAGAGGGACACTTTCACTTGACTGTGGGCTGGGGCGGGGGGAAGTTGCCTCACTCACTTTAACTTTCTTTTCTCTCAGCAAGTGTTTGCCTCACCCAGCAAGCACCCCATGGATAGCAAAGGGGAAGAGTCCAAGATTAGCTACCCCAACATCTTCTTCATGATCGACAGTTTTGAAGAGGTGAGCTGCTGCCGGCAGGGTCTGGATTCACATAAACGCGCTTGAATATAGGCGGGTGTGTTTGGCCAGCTCTAAGCCTCCGTTTCCTCATCTGTAAAGGATGCTCCCCATCATCTGTCCTACTTATCCTACGGGGTTAGAGATCAAATGACCACATGAACAAGAGGACACATTGTAAACCCTTTAAAAAGTGCTGTCCAAACAGACAGGGTCATTATTCCTGTAAAACCACAAGGTCAGCGGTTTAAGCCCACCAGCCACTCTGTGGGAGAAAGATGAGGCTTCTTCCACAAAGATTTGATTTACAGCCTTGGAAACTCTGTCCAGGGCCTCTATGAGTCAGAACTGACTCAACAGCACTTAATAACAACAATTAAACTATATATACTTGATGGCATCTAACAACAACAACATAGTGCTATAGGATAAAGTACTGGACTGCAGTCTGTTTGAACTGCAAGGTCGGCGGTTCAAACCCACCAGCTCCTCCTCAGAAAACCCAGTCTAGTGCTGACCCTATAGCGCCACACCATAAATATCTATGTATATATATATAATTTATAAGTAGATTAGAATTAAGTTTGAAAACAGTCAGCACAGATCCACACCAACTTGGAATCTAACATACCAGAGGAGTGGAGCTTCAGAAGTTGTCTGGGCCAAGGTTGGGAAAATGCACGCAGGGCATAAAGTGACTTGCCTGGAGACTTACAGGGGTGGAAATTGCTGGGAGGCCAGCAGTCATCATCCTCTCCTGGTCCCCAAGAGATGGCCCTCTCACCCCTAGGAAGAGCTCCTGGGAGAAGCCTAGTACGTTTCAGGATCTCTTCTGATTCATTGGTGTCTTGATTGGCAGGCTGCTGTCTTGACGCATGCCCTGGTCAGGGGCTTTAATTATGCACCTTCCTCAGACCCTGGAGTCCCTTACTCGTGGGGCTGAGGGGATCTGGGAAAGCCAGAGAAGATTTGTACCCACCAGGACCCACGGGTCCAAATGTCTCCTGGGCAGTATCCGTTGTCCGCAGTGCAAGCTAGCAGCCAGACCCTAGAACAGGGGCAGGAGAGAGCCCAGAAAATGGGCCTGACGCTGTGGACACAGGAGGCAGGGCGGAGTAGAATGGCTGAGGAACCTGATGATCTAGAAGGGCCACGGGCTACTACCCAAAGCTCAGGTTCTGAATCCACACATCTGGTCCCGCCTTGTTAGCCCCGCCTGCCTCTATCGGTTCAGCGTCTTCCAGCCCGTAAGTCCAGTCTTCTTGGTGTCCAGGTCGTGGTGGGAAAGCTGGGTGACCTTGGACAAAGACTCCACGTTGGCCTCAATGTTCTTATCTTTGAAACGTTTTTTTTTTTTTTTACCCCCCAAAACAGCCCTCCCTCCAGCCTCCAGCTAGTGAGGGATGTGGTGGGCGAGGCCAGGCGGGTTGAGATTTGGGGGTGCTGACTCCTGGTTGCACCCCCTCAGGTGTTCAGCGACATGACCGTGGGGGAAGGAGAGATGGTGTGCGTAGAGCTGCTGGCCAGTGACAAAACCAACATGTTCCAAGGGGTCATCTTTCAGGGCTCCATCCGCTACGAGGCGCTCAAGAAGGTGTACGATAACAGAGTGAGTGCAGGCCGGCTAGGCAGGGCTCCCTGCTACCCCATTTTCTCATGAAATTCTGAGGCTGGTTCATGACCAGATTGCCCCAGTTTAGCTTCTGTAAGACCCTGCCCCCCAAGCCCCCACATTAAACTGTTCTAGCTCAGTGTCTGCAGATCCCCTCCATGCCCCCAACCCAGCGATTGACCTGTATCCCAGCTTAGTGTCTGCAGAACCCCCATAGGCCCCCCCCAATATAACTGCCCCAGCTTAGTGTCTGCAGACACTCCCACAGGGCCCCCATGATCTAATACCCACAGCTTGGCTCCACAGTCCCCCACTGGTTTGTAGGGGTCCCTCAGAAGTGACTAGCTTTCTTCATTGGGCTTTTTTCAGCTCACTGGGACCACCTCCTTCCATGAGGACTGAGTGGAGGTACCCGGACCTTCATACGTAACTCCCTGAGAGTGACATTTGGTGGTGCCGGGACTCCCACCCTCCCCAGTCACCTGCTTTCTGGTGACGGGCTCCGGACAGCATTCCTGAAGGGAGGAGGGGTGCCCAGGCAGCTGGTGGCCTCTTCCTCTCCAGGTGCTGGGTGTGTCTGGACACTGCAGGCTGCCCCTCCGCGTGGTACAGTGGGGCTGGCTGCCTGCTGCCCTGACCCCGCTGTCTGCCCGCAGGTGAGCATGGCTGCTCGGATGGCACAGAAGATGTCCTTTGGTTTCTACAAGTACAACAACATGGAGTTTGTGCGCATGAAGGGGCCCCAGGGCAAGGGCCATGCCGAGATGGCGGTCAGCCGCGTGTCCACCGGGGACACATCCCCCTGCGGTACTGAGGAGGACTCCAGCCCCGCCTCGCCCATGCACGAGCGGGTAAGGGCTGCAGGGCTGGGAGGGCCAGGCCCTCGGATTCTCTGCCCACGCCTCTCTGGTCCCCTCAGCCCCCTGGCCAGGTAGGTTGTCCTTGCTCACTCAAGTGAGGAGGCTGAGGCTCAGAGAGGGCTGGGGCTTGCCCGAGGTCACACAGCAGGACAGATCTGAGTCCTGAGCTTCCCTCAGCCTCCACTGAAGCCAGGCCAGGTCCTTGTAAAGGAATCGTCCAGTGCATGTGCATCCCTGAGTCACGTGGGGTGATGGTGAGGGCCCAGGCCCTGGTCCTTCTGTTTGTCACCTCCACTAACTGCTGTGAGGCTACCAGCCACCGGGCAGGCAGGCCTGAGAACCCATGCCTTACAGACCAGGATGCCAAGACAGCGTAGCGTGTCCAGTCACACAGCTCTTATAGTCCAGGGTCACTTCTCCTGGGACCGTTCCTCCTGGTCACCATCCTCCCTCATGGTGGAAGGCCAGGGTCAGTGCAGGCCTTTCTCTGCAGGACCCAGGGAAAGGCAGGACACCCCCAGCCCTTCGGTCATGCTGCCCCTCCTGAGTCTTCCAGAAGGGAGCAGGTGGGCGAGGAAATAGAGGTCTGGGGCGGGCACCCAGTACTGATGGGCAGGGACCCAGAGATCTGGGATGGGGCCAGAGAGGTGAGCAGGGTCCCAGAGATCTGGGATGGGGCCGGGGAGATGAGCAGGGTCCCAGAGATTTGGGACACGGATGGGGAGCCAGCATGGATGGGCTTTCTCCCGGAGGTCTGGAAAAGGGACAGAAAGTCAGTGTGGGTGCTCAGGGTCCTGGAAGTCTGGGACCCCACAGAGAGCCAGCACAGACGGATGGGTAGGGTCCTAGAGGTCTGGGATGAGGATGTGGGGTCTGTATGGATGGAGGGAAGGGTAATTGGTGTGAGTGGGCAGAGTCTTGGAGGTCTGGGAAGGGGGCGTGGGGGTGGGGTCTGTGAGGATGTGGGGAAGGGTCTCAGAGGTCTGGGTCAGCAATCTAAAGGCAGTGCTCCGCATTTTGTCTCCCCCTCATATCTCTCCTTTTTATATTTTCTTCAGTGAGTGTGTTGTGCAAGCCAACCCGTAGCAGTCCTTGCTGTTCTTGTAGGAAGATGGGTGAAAATTTTAGGTGGGGCCTCTAGTCTTTGGGACCCAGATTCTTTCTGTGTTGGGAGTTCGGTTCTTGGAGGGGGTAGGCATGGGCCAGGTAGCTACCACTGGACCCTAAAACAGATAAGTTTAAGTCAGCCTGGGGAGAGGTGTGTACGAGCCCTACACTCAGGGCTGGGACAGACCCACGTGGATGCTGACTACATCTTTACCGAGACCTTGGCACCCCCCCACCCACCTGTTGAATGGGAGTGGTCTGCCCGCCCGCCTGCACTGCTAGGTGGAGGTGTGTGGTAGTTCCGGGGTCCCCACAGCAGGAAGCCTCAGAGAGCCCAGGGGTGACTGGGTAGTTGCCAGCCCCGCCCTGCGTCTGCTGTTGCGCGTGCGTCGTCCTTCTTCAGCCAGCATGTGACAGGCACACACTGTGTGTTGTGGTTTCTGGCATCAGCTCCTTGGCCAGCACGTGGACCGCCTGGAGCCCAGCGCTGTCTCAGCCCGGCACACCTTGTTCCACAGATTTCTTGTTTGCATGGGGAGGAGGGAGGAGATGGGCCAAGTTCCCTCTGCCTGGAACGCCCTTCCCCCCCTTCTTCACCTGGCGAACTCCTACTCGTCCTTCAAGACCCATCCTGAGCTGCATCTCCTCCAGGAAGCCTTCCTCGATCCCCCTCCTGAGCCTGTAAGCCCCTCAAGGGCAGGGACTGGTGTCCTCCTGGCCCCGAGTGTGTGTGCAGGGTGTGTGATGAGAAGTGGGGTGAGACAGGTGCAGAGCCACCCCACTGTGTAGCCCTTCTCGTGGGAGGATGCAGGTATTAGAGGACAGGTATAGTGATAAGTAATCTCAGCTGTGCCCTGTCTTTCTGGTGGACCTTGGACAAGCCAAGGCGGCTCTCCTGCCTTGTTTTCCCCGTATCTCTCAGGCTGTGTCTGGGGGAGCTGAGTGAGACCTGGACCAGGGTTCAGTGTTGAGATTTATTAGACAAACACCCCGCCTCCAGCCCAACCATTGTCTGAGGCCTGGTGAACCTCTGATCCACCATCCGGCTCCTCCCAGGCCCTCTAAAGCCCGCCTCCCAGTGCCCTCTGCTTCCATGGCAGGGGTGGCAGCCTCACAGGCAGCTTCTGCTGCTGTGGTGATGTCCTCTTTGTCCCCAGGTGACCTCCTTCAGCACACCCCCCACCCCAGAGCGGAACAACCGGCCTGCCTTCTTCTCGCCATCCCTCAAGAGGAAGGTGCCACGGGGCCTAATGGCCGAGATGAAGAAGTCCCACTCGGCCAATGACAGCGAGGAGTTCTTCCGGGAGGACGAGGCTGCAGGTGATGCCCCTGGGCCCTCTGGGTCTAGACGAGTGGATCATCTTGTTCATTCTTTTGCTGACTGAGCCACAACTGACAGATAGTCACTGTATCTTCCCACCCTGGAGCTCCACCAGCAGGTCCCCTGTCCCTTAAGAAAGTGCTCAGGAACATACACGAGGGGGCTTCAGAATGTGGAAACATTCCAGTGTGTCCATTCCATGCAAGTCCAGGGTGGGTGCGCGTCCTCCAGTCTTCCTAGGAAGGGCTGGCAGATGATGGGCACAAGAGACACTTCCCACAAGGCTGAACTGAACACTGGCTCCTTGCATTAGTCACTGAGACTCCTGATTTCACTCCTGGCCAGTGTCTGTTGTGGCCAGCTTGCCCTGCACTCTAGAAGCTTCCATTGGTGGGGTTCCTCAGGGTTTCCAAGTGTCTCCCTAGACAAGTTGGAGCCCTCCTCCCCCCAATTCTGTGGACATGTCTGTGTAGCCACAGGGCTGCTCTGGGTGTCTCTATGGCGCGACAGCCCCACAGACTCACACCGCACACTTCACGAGCCAGGCCCAGTGGGGATGCTCAGTGCGGAGACAGTGGGTCGAGATCCCCACCAGGGTTGACCCTCGCTCTGGCACTGCCTTGCATGTGCTGGCTGTGAGGTTGGAATACCCCTCCCCACTCTGGGGACATGTCCACATTCATAGGAAATGCTGGTTCCCACCCTCATTTACCGCCCCTGGCAGGAGGCTCCTTAACTAAACCATAAGAGTCACCTGCCTCCCTCCCCGTGATGGGCAAGACCATGGATGGTAGAGCCGGCTATAGTCATGTGACAGCCTCGGAGCCTGTACTCCCTGAGATGGGGGAGGAGGAGGACAAGGCGAGGTTTGGGGGCGCATCCAGATGGGAGCACCCATAAGCAAAGGCAGCAGAGGACAGGACTGCCCAGCCCTAACCTTGCTGTGTCCCCTCCAGCTGACCTGCACAACGCCACCAATCTGCGGTCACGGTCCCTGTCTGGCACAGGGCGGTCTTTGGTGGGGTCCTGGCTGAAGCTGAACAGAGCTGAAGGAAACTTCCTTCTCTATGCACATTTGACCTACATCACGTTACCACTGCATCGGATTCTAACAGGTAGCGGGGGTGAGGAGGTGGGCAAGTGGGACCCCTTCCATGGAGTGGCTCTCCCCTGTCACCACACCACACCCCAGGCCGGGGCCTCCGGGCTCCCCGTGGGCACTAAGGGTCTCCCTCATCTCATCCCTCTGTGGTCTCCCTGCTGGAAATCCCCCAGGAGTGAGATCTTTGTGGGTAGGTGAGCCTCGGGCCTGTGTGCTGAGCACTGGCCCTGGGGTCAGAGTGGGCCGTGTCTGTGGGCCTGGTGTGGGACCAGGGGCTGTGGGGCCCTCGCACCCGGCAGGCTGAGCTGTCTTATCGTCTCTCCCTCTGCACCGGCCAGACATCCTGGAAGTTCGGCAGAAGCCCGTCCTAATGACCTAGCTGCGTCACCAGCCCTGCCCGGCCCGGGAAGTGCTGCCAAGTGCCTGCCCGTACCACCGCCCCCCATCCCACCCCTGGCTCTTCTGTGACAGCCCAGCGCTCGAGCCGGGCCGGGGCGGGACCAACAGGGGCCCCCCCAGGGCCAGGGCCTACTCCAGGAACACCAGCTCAAACTGAAGTGCCTCTTCTTCCTCCCCGCTGGCTCTGCTCCTGCCCGTGCCCACCGCCTGTCACCCCCCAGCCCCAGCCCATCTCAGAGCTGTGCACCCGATGACGGGACCAGAGTCACCAAGAGGCCAGAAGAAAGTGTGTGTGGGAGCAGCCTGTGTCCAGAATGTCCAGACGCACGTGTCCCGTGGCCAAGTCCCAACAGACAGCAGTGGACCCCACCCCACCCCACTCCACCCCCTAGCTGGAGCCCATTGAGAAACCCTCCACCCAGAAAGCCCTCGTGAAGTTTCGTAACCATGTGCTAACAAATGTCAGCTTCTCAATCAGCCCACCTGCCCTCTCTGTGTCAGCCCTCGGCTATTGGTGGGTCACCACGGGAGGCGGGGGACACAGAGGTGGACAGTTTGGCCCTGAGCTGGGAATACCTCACCCTATGCCCAGTTCCAGAAAGGCCCTGACCCCCGCCAGAATGGCCTTTTGCTTCCAGCCAAAGAACACCGCCGACGCACACCTCCAGTGTGGAGACCTTGCACGGGGGCCTCGCTGGAGGGGCCACAGAATCGGGACCTGAGGGCAGGCAGAACCCCTCCACCAGGGGTCGGGAGAGGACTCACCTGCTGGGACTGGGGATGCTGGTCCTCCCTCATCACAGACCAGCCCCGGGCCCCGCGGCTGCACCAACACAAAGACGTTTCCATTTGTGACGACACACGTGCTCTTCTCAAACCATGAGCCTTCTCGAGGCAGAGCGCCGCCCCAGCCCCGGGAATAAACTGTAAGCTGGGTCTCTTTATGGCTGTTTTCTGTTCATCTGGAGGTCCTCTTTGGGGAAATAAGGAAGAGAATGAACCATGCCCTGCTCCGGTCTATGCTCAGGGACGGGGCTGCCCAGGGCTTTCTTCCAGATTTTGTATGCTCTTATTAAAAGCCAGCTGTTGCATTTTCTCCTGCCTCGGTTTACCCACCTGTAACCTGCTACCTCACTGACAGCCTGGGTGCAGGGTTCACACGGCAGGCGTGGCCACCGGTGTGCCGTGAAGCTTGGGTCACAGGTCACCCCCTTTATTAAACTTGTCCATGAGGACAGCTGAAGGGCCTGGGCTTGGTGCCCCACTCAGTTGTCCACTGCCCAGAGCTGTGTCCTGGGGTGGTCCACATCAGAGGGCCCAGGGAGTGAGCCCAGGTTTGTGTTTTAGGTGGCTGAGGTTTTGAGCTGTTTCCGCAGGCACTGAATCTCAGAGCTGGGGACACACTACACCCTCCCGCTGTCCCCAGAGGCACCTAGGACAAGGGTAGACAGCTGGCTGCCAGTGCTCAGCCCCCCACCAGCTGGCTGAGACTAGAGTTAGCACATTTCCATGGCTGGGCCAGTGGAGCAGACACCTCCTCATCTGTGAGGTGCCATGTGTTCTGTCCCCTGCAGTAATTGTGAGGCTTGGTCACATGAACTTGGGGAGGTGCTGTGCAGGTCAGAGAAGTGTGTGCACATGGCGTGTTTTAGAGTTCATGCCTTCATTCTCAGCATGTGCACACGCATGAAACAGGCTGACTGCTTCCTATTGGAGAAGGCCAAGGAGTGGTCAGCACCTTTAACAGACGAGGAGTAGCAATGTAGAAGGTTTGTGGACTCCCTGAGAGTGAACAAGAAGTGACAACAAACAGGCTTCCTTCTAGCCATGGTGGTGACACCCTACACAAATGGATGGGCATTTGGTGGAATCATCTCTGCGTCAGGCCTTCCACAGAGGGCAATTGAAGCAAGCTATGATGCTAAGGTGTGGTGTCTTAAGGCCACACTTGCCACCACCAGGAGACACTAGGGCCAGAACCAGGGTCCCAGACAGCATGTGGTAGTCAACTTTCACCTCTTGGGAGGCTGCCTTACTTTTTTCTGGCCTCATGCCCCTCTTTCAAACGTAGGGACGGCCAAGGCCTACATGTATTTGCTAAGTATGAGGTGACTTGAGAAAGCTCATGGAAAAAGTGGAATGAAAAGCTCATGGGATTTTCCCACGAACTCTGAAGCCCCTTCATGCAACTTTGAGCACTGGAGGGTAACCACTGGAGGGTAACCACTGGACCGTTAACTGTGAGGTTGGCAGTTTAAACCTGCCAGCGGCTCCTCAGAAATCCTATACACTATGAGTCAGAACCGACTCCACAGCGCTTAGCAACAGCAGCAGTGTACAACCTTCCTTCTAGAAAAACCAGGATGTGTCACGAGGATATCAGTTATTTCTTAAGAGAAATAGCAGGTTCCTATTTGGTAGCGCAGTGGTTACAAATTGGGCTGCGAACCTTAAGGCCAGCAGTTCGAAACCACCAGCTGTTCTGTGGGAGAAAGAGGAGGCTTTCTGCTCATAAAGATTTATGGCCCCGGAAACCCTGTACAGGGTCGCTATGGGTCGGAACCGACTCCACGGCACATAACAACAACAACGTTTCTTTAGACTGATTGGTGGTATACTGTTCATATTGACATCTTCCCTGCCTTCCACAGCTGAGTGAATATTCAGGTAACCCTTAGTTTTAAGGGCCTATGTCCTCCTGGAACTTCTAAGGTGAGCTTGCACCATTGCCCATAAAGACAGTGCAGGTTCATGATTTCCAAAGAATATTTACTTCAAACACAAGAGCCGTCAAATGAGCAAAAACAAAGGCTTGTTCTTGGTGTGATTTCCACCAAAGAATCTTATCACCTAGAATCAAACCAGGTTCTATTTATGCTGTTTCCTTTACAAATAGATTAGTTAATAGACTGTTGAGGACAAGTAAAAACTTTCTCAGCCACCCACTCTCGCATTGGTATGGAATTATTGGATAAGCACTGGACTGCCAATCACAAGGTCAGTGGTTCAAACCCCCAGCTGCTCCTCAGAAGCCTTGTACAGGGTCGCTAAGAGAACCGACTTGATGGCATGTACCAACAACAACATTGGTGGTTTTAAATCATTGGCCCCCAATTTTTTTTTTTACAGGTTTACATTTTAAAAATCGATCTGCCGACTCTAGAATCAAAGAAAGTTTATAGGTTTTCTTTGGCTTTGCACTCAATTCAGTTTTCTAATATAGCTGGAATTTCATACCCATTTTCAAACACCATGTAAAACATTTGACGTTACCTGTGTGGGCTTAATAACACCCTTTGTATTAGCAAGTGAAATCACGTCTCCTTAAGAAAAAAATTAGCCACACTAGTGGAAAAGTACAACCGACATCTGTGCCTGGAGTTTAGGGCTGAGGCAGCCTGTTGGCGGAGGCCAAGTGGTCAGATGCCCTCTGAGGGTCAAGAGATGGGAGCATGCTGTTCCTCCTCTTCATTCACTGATACTGACGTCCCCAGTGGTGCCTTCTCACTGAGCCTCTGGAACAAACAGCCATTGGAGAACACCTGAGATACCACGCCCACCAAGAGGCCTGGAGTGGGGTCTCAGAAGTGGAGAAAGTCAAGCTCTTAGGATCCAGGCACACAGAAAGTATGTTTCCCTGGGGTGTCACAGGGCATGCATGAACTGATGGCGTCACCCACTCCCCGTGGGCCTCTTCCTGAACCAGAACATTCAGAACCCTTGTTGGTTGCCACCGAGCTGATTCCTACTTCTTGTTGTGGTTATGTGCCGTGGAGTCAGGTTCCGACCTTAGCGACCCTGTACAGGGTTTCCGAGGCTGTAAATCTTTAGAGGAGCAGAAAACCTCATCTTTCTCCCACGGAACAGCTGGTAGTTTCAAACTGCTGACCCTGAGGTTCGCAGCCTGATTCGTAACCACTACGCTACCAGAGCTCCTTAGAGCTCCTTTTTAGAAGGTTCAAAAAGTTAATTAACATAGAGTTTTAGCCTTGTGGGTATATTGATACTCATAATCTGGGCCTACAAAAAATGCTTTTATTGCTGTAACCACAGGGATTTTTTTGGTTAAAAATCATATATGTCTGCTGAAACACAACACAAATTTCTTATAGACTGTCATCTGGTGTCACCGCTCTGACAGTGTCACCCCAGGGTGGTCCACACCACACCCCCTAGTGTTGTACACAGTGCGGCACTGCAGGATCAGCACTGGACTGCTAACCAGAGAGCCAGCTGTTCAAACCCACCAGCCCTTTCTCAGAAGCCCTATACAAGGTTGCTAAGACTCGGAACCCACTCGATAGCACTTACGACAACACACACATATTTTTGTTGTTCCCGTTCAAGTCCTTGAGTTTAGAGGAATAAACATACTTTGAATCCTTCCACACTGTTGGGTGACCCGAAGAAACACACAGCCTTTTCTTAGTATTTTTTACTTTTATTTCCTCACTTCAGCCAGCGTAGTAATCTATAGATACAGTTTATGGTTTTCAAGCTAATTCTATGCATGAGAATCCCTAAATCTTCAGGGAAACATGTTGAGGTTTTTCACTAGTGATATTTAAAGAATATATTTTTACCACAATGCCGAGCCGGTGTATATGTTCTTGTTAGATGTGTGGAGTTGGTTCCAGTTCATGGTCACCCTGTGTACAGTGCAAGGAAACACTGCCCGATCTGCACATTCTCACCATTGTTACGCTTGAGCCCCTTGCTGCTGCTCTCTGATGCCTTGCAAATTGTTGTTGTTGTTAGGTGCCATCGAGCCGGGACCAACTCATAGTGATCCTATGCACAGCAGAATGAAACACTGCCTGATCCTGGGCCAACCTCACTTCTGTTGCCACGCTGGAGCCCACTGATGCTGCCACTTGGCCAATCCATCCTCATTGGGGGTCTTCCTCTTTTTCTCTGACCCTC